GCAGGGTTTTATAGGAGGTTCATCAAAGACTTCTCAAAAATCTCGAAGCCATTCACCGACCTGCTTTGTAAGGACACACCGTTTATCTACACTGCAGAATGTGATGCCGCGTTCCAAACTCTGAAAAAGGCCTTGGTATCTCCGCCGATTATTCAGCCTCCAGATTGGGATCTCCCCTTTGAGATCATGTGCGATGCTAGCGACTACGCTGTAGGAGCAGTTTTAGGCCAGCGGAAGAACAAGCGATTACATGCCATATACTATGCCAGTCGCACCCTTGACGATGCTCAGATCAACTACACCACCACGGAAAAGGAGATGCTTGCCATAGTCTACGCTTTCGAGAAGTTCAGGTCTTATCTAGTTGGATCGAAAGTGATAGTCTACACTGATCACGCAGCTCTCCGATACCTTCTGTCCAAGAAAGACGCCAAGCCTCGACTCATCAGATGGACTCTTCTGCTACAAGAGTTTGATCTAGAGATCAGGGACAGAAAGGGGACTCAAAATGGTGTAGCGGATCATTTATCACGGCTTGAGATTCCGAACCCTTTGCCCATCGATGACTCATTGCGAGACGAGTATGTCATGGCCATTTCAGTCCACACCGAGGCTCCGTGGTATGCAGACTACACGCAATATACTATCCCAGCCGCACCCTTGACGATGCTCAGATCAACTACACCACCACGGAAAAAGAGATGCTTGCCATAGTCTACGCTTTCGAGAAGTTCAGGTCTTATCTAGTTGGATCGAAAGTGATAGTCTACACTGATCACGCAGCTCTCCGATACCTTCTGTCCAAGAAAGACGCCAAGCCTCGACTCATCAGATGGACTCTTCTGCTACAAGAGTTTGATCTAGAGATCAGGGATAGAAAGGGGACTCAAAATGGTGTAGCGGATCATTTATCACGGCTTGAGGTTCCGAACCCTTTGCCCATCGATGACTCATTGCGAGACGAGTATGTCATGGCCATTTCAGTCCACACCGAGGCTCCGTGGTATGCAGACTTCGTGAACTATCTGGTGAGTGGGCTGATTCCTCCAGAGCTGAACTACAATGGAAGGAAGAAATT